ACAGATGGATATTTTTTGCAGCAATTCCAATTTTTTGCATGACGGACATTGAAACATGCTTTCATAGATCCTGTTGCAATTCCAGAAAGCTAGAAACTCTTTCAGACATAATTGAAAGTTTAATTTTCATAAAACTGCTGTAATAATAATAGCCTGCAAAAAGTAATAAGCTGGATCAAATCAGAAAATTAAGAAACAGCACAATCTGCTATGTTAAACAAAATTCCTTCGAATCAGTAAAGTATAATTTTAACCTAGCTGAAGAGCATCCGTGGTACATTACTGGTTATGTAGCATGAGATTGGTGACTAAAGACAAGCTGTTCCGTTTAAATTTTGTCTTACTCCTATTCATGCACCGAGACAATCAAGTCTGAATTGTATTAATATAGTTATTTATTATACAGTCAAAAGTCGTTAATTCGGACACCCATAATTCAGAATGATCTATAATCCGGACATCAAAACTAAAAACTTTCTGCGCATGCGCCGCGTTGACACATGCGCAGAGGCGTTCACGCGTGCGCGTAAGACCTTTTACGACTGCGCATATGAGTGTGCGCAAGTGCAGAATACGTTTTCGCGTGCGCATTTTATGTATAATGGACGTATAAGCTAAAATTATCTAATTATCTATTTCAGTTAATGTTGATGATTGCGTTGTTCCTTAATTTTCGAATTGCATCCGGCTTATTATTTTTTGCAGACTGTAAGAGCAATTTTATAAAAGTAAGCTTAAACTTTCGATTATATCAAATAGAATTTCCGATATATATTTGTTAATATGTAAAGAATCTAAAGCGAAAGTATGTTTTGAAATCCGAAATCTGTTTATCAATTTCACGTTGCTCGGCGGCGGGCGCCTAATGAATTGGAAGTTGATTTGTCAGCACTATCCTTATCTTCAGCGCAGATGTTTTTATTTTATTTGGCTTATAATTCCTTACCAAATGTAGTATTTCATCTCGATATGCTCAGTCTTTGATATGATTTAAAACAAGTTCCTCGTCGTCATAATTCGCTTCCGATAGCGAAGAAAAGTGACAGAGGTTATTGAAAACAAAAAAATTTCGATTGACAAATTAGTCGGTGTTCTTGACACAGCAATTATAGGACTTGAATGGCGGAACTTTGTAACTGAACAAGAAATTATGTCTGTTTAATAGAATTAAAGAGAAAGTATTATCACATGAAACGAAGCAAAACTTAAACAACTTACATTGAAAGAAATGTTTAATAAAGTAAACAAATAAATATTAAGCTTTTTCTTTTTGCAAATTTTGATACCCTTTAGATCATAATTGTTCTTTATTTCATAAATTACGGTTTCATATTTTTAATTTTAGAATTTCTGCATGCCATCTTACGAGATTTAAACTGATGATCTATAATCCGGAAAAATCGATAATCCGGAATCGCCGAAGTCCCGACGAGTCCGAATTAACGACTTTTGACTGTACTTATGTCCATTTCTTGCACATGGCTATATACCTTCAAAGACTTTTTTTTTTTTTTTTTAAGTTTTTGCATTTAATTTTGGCTTTTAAGTAATTAATGATGAAAAAATGAATCTGAATTATTTAATGACCATTTTTTTTTGGAGTAAAGTAAAAAAACAAGCCCCCCCAAAAAAAACAGCAATATTTACAATAAATTAGAAACGCTGTGTTAAAAAAAGTATAATATATTTTCATATTTTGTAAAATGCAAACCCATCATAAAGATATTCTCAGGGAGGTTGACTTATTTTGAAGCTAGGAAGTTATTTAAAAGATTTTTGACCTAGAATGTGTAATATAACAAAGAAAAAGCATATTTTCTTAATAAAATTAATCTTTAACACATAATTACTTTATAAAAAATCCATTTATCAATTAGTAAATAGTCTGTCTCCTAGCATGAAATATTCTAAACATGTATACCAAATTGCATAAGATTTCAATCATAATTTTTAAAGATATCGTGTTTCTTGTTAGCATTAAAACACAAAAAATGAAAAACGAGATAAACACGTTTAAAGAATTCAAACACTAGAATACCTACTTTTAATCAGTTTGTAAAAACTTGAAATTCCCCTGATTTATAACTAATGCCCTCTTGGTTTTTAGAATTTACAGTTTTTTTTTTTTTTTTTTTTTTTTTTTTTTTTTTTTTTTGTTGTTTTCTTGCAGCTTTTATAATTTTTCTAAGCTTTTTAAAGCCAAATCAGGGAATGTCGTTTTGCATTATTGATATGGTTAACATCAAAACTTTCATACTCGTTTGCAGAGTAGTAAACAATATTTATACCTAATTTATCATATCTTTACCTAAAGCATACCAATATCTATCTATACCTATAAAAATTAATGAATATTAGTCAGTAATAAATAAAAAAACGCTTATCAGCAATGTAAACACAAAATCAAATCACGAGCGAAAATGCGTTAATAAAATACTTTTTGGTCTTTAAAATGCAATTAAATAAAGTTTTAAGGCCCAAAAATAAAAGTAAGCAACTCTGACACACCCACTTTGGCCTGTTAAATGTTTCTGTCTTGTGCACTTTGGTATGCTTTTCGAGGACAAAGTGTTAAATAAAGTATAACTCCGGTTTGAATGAACGTAGGAACAAAATTCAAACAGTTTTGAAAACATAAGAAATAAGACTTTCATCGAGCGTAACGAAAAAAAAAAGTAGTTTTTTGACCAAAATCTTGGTTTCTAAGGTATACAGCCCCCTTAGACTTATCTGAGTCCTGAATAAATAAATTCCCACATATACTTAAGCTTACTGATTGTCGACACTAGATATTTTACCGCCTGATGCAGTCTCTACGGGTCCTAAATTCTGCTACTGAGGGCTTCTTTAAGTTCTAAATTTTTTCCACCCGTAAATTTTGGGTCCTAGTACATTTCCTAAATTAAAAAATTTTGTTACTTGATGTTTCTCTAAATTCCAAATATCTTGTCTTCCCTAAAGTCTGTGCCCCCCGGTGCAACCATACGAGTTCTGTCGCCGGTTCTGCATTTCTGTGAAAATCAAATCAGTCTTAACTCAAATAGCACTAAATGTAATTTTGGCCTATGAGTATCATTAACAAAATCTATTTTTAACATTTGGAAAGAAATTTTTGTTAAATTTTTCCTCATCAACATATAGTACATTTAACTTAAATCTGTAATCATCGCCAAGTGTAATGTCAACATAAAAGGTTACCGTACTCTTTGTTATTAAATTACTAATAAAAAAAAAAACAGATTGTTTAGGCATTGCTGCAAAGAGTCATTACTCAAGTTGTTATGCATTGATAAACATGCAGTGATGAAAGCAAAATATAGATGTTTCGGTTTGAGATATATGCCAAGCAGATACGCAGATACGAAGCCAAATTACTGATCACACAAATTTATGCTAAAATAATTCTTTATTCAATAATAAGGTATTTTATTTAGTGCCGAAGTGAAATAAATAATTGGAACCCTCTGGATTTTAGATCATTCCGGATATTGGACGTCCGGATCTCGGACTTTGTACTGTACATATAAAATGTAACTCCAGCAATTGAAGTATGTTAATTCTCTGAAAATATTTTAAAAATAATATGTGAAAATAAAACTGATTAATTTCATTTATTTAATAAAATGATTTACTCACTTTGTTGCATTAATTACTTTGAAATTCACACTTTTCCCCCTGTAAATTCTACATTTGTATTTGCTATAACTAGCTACAAAAGTAATTATGATAACAACAGATTAGCATAGTTACTTTTAACAGAAGAATGCAGTTTATAAGCATATAGCTTTCTTCAATTAAAACTCCAAAATAGTCTTCTTGCTCTATTTTCCATAATAAAAACTAGCTAGTAAAAATTATGCATATTTTATAGTGCCTAAATGAATGATAAATACATTAAAACTTAACATAAAATACTCTGGAAATTTTAATATATGCCTTTTTAATGTGGTTTAATATGCATAAGCTGTGAAATATTCCATCAAGAAAAAATTAAATATCAGAAAATAAATCTTATCTATAATTATTAATGAATTATTTCTTTTATAACTTTTCTTCTGAAGAACACAACTTACTTTTCTTTTTGTGAATAAGTTTCCTTCAATTTCTGCACTTTTATTGCATCCATCAATTTTAATATAACAACAAGACAAAGAAGAATTTCACACACTTCTCTTATGTAATTGTTCCAGTCATCTGTTTTGTGATTCATTTGAAGCAGGTTTTGATTCACAAAATTCAACAGGCATTCTAGAGAACTAGAATTTTAAGTGGATGAATCATATTGCAATAAGGAAAGAAATATATGATCCAACAAATCAGGTTTGTGTTCAAACACTTTTCATTCTTCCTGGCACAAGCAAAGGATTCATACTCATTCCAGCTTTGAATAACATATTAATTTAAGATAATTATTCAAACAGAATCTTAATAAGCAAATAACCATTTAACAAGCATAACTGCTTATTGATCTTTTGAAAAATTTCAAGTTGTGAAATACACTGCAGTAAAAAAATTTTAAAAAATGATTAGGTGAAAAACGTGATCTCATAACTGACAGTTACAAAAAAAAAAAAAAAAAAAAAAAAAAAAAATGTCTAAACCAAACTGGTGATACCAGATTCCTAGGAAATATGCCACCCCTCCCAAAAAAAAAAAAAAAAAAAAAAAAAAAAAAATGCAAAGTGGTGCAGTTTTAATGGAGAAGTACTATTTGTTTCATCTATAAGCTATTAAAATTTATAGAACCAGTAGCTAACATTTCTGTTGCATGATGCAGAGACATCATTGTTCAATTATCTTTTTTAAAAAAATTAACATTAATCAAAGGTTCAGTTCTGCCAAAATTTAAAACAGCATATTAGTTCCAACTTTTTTTTAATGAGTTTATACAATACCTTATTTTCACAATAGAAAATTCTAATCATCAACTACTGGATATTTTCTACACGTAAGACTTTATATGAAAGTGATAAAAAATTCATATATACAAAATCATTTACCTAAAACTAAACTAGCGATTGCAGCTGTCATTAAACTGCTAGCACAAAGTAAGGTAGCATGATGCACATCAAATTTATGTTCCTGGACAACATCTACAACAATGGCAAATACAGAAGCTAGAAAAGCTACTATTGTTGCTTGACACTAAAAAGACAAAAGAACTCATTTAAATCTATTACTTCTTTTAAAATACACTTAAATATATTAAAATACAAGAATTATAATAAATATATGAAATAACTACAATGAACATTAAAATAATTAAATATATTAAAATGTATTTAAATAATAATTAAAGTAATTACTTAACTAAAATAACAAAACTATATGTATTATAATTGCAATTTTGTTAAGCACATATTTCAAAAAAATTCATAAAATCATACTTGGACAAGAGCCATATTGCCATAAGTCATTTTCCACTGTTCTCTAAGACTGTCCAGTTGTCCCAGATTTGCCTAAATGCAAAGAATAGCTTTAAAATGTGAATATTTTAAACATATTTGAAGTTTAGCACAGACACATACATGTGAATAAATTACACATGGTAGGTTAAAAATAATGCAAGTGAAAACAGTTAATAACTCAGTTAACTGCAAGTCGACTAGAATAAGAAGGAAATTAATTTGTAGCAACAAAATTCATGCTAATTATGGCAACAAATACAGATGCTATCTGTGAAAGAAAATTTATGCCTTTGTGAAGACATTTCCTGCGAGGCATATACATTTATTGTACATCATTGAGCATGGCAGAAACCATGAAATAAATAAAATAAAACAAATCATATGCTCTCCTACAATTGATCTAAATTCGACATTTGATATGATAACTCTCTTCCCTTACATATAATAAAGAAAGAAATTGCATGATATGAATAAACAATGTTTCATGCATGCCATTTGTATGGACAACACCAATCCCAAATTCTGGGATGTTCAACATTTTGCCAATATTCTAAAAAACTGAAACTTGAGATAATTTGAATTTTACTACTGAAAAAAATCACATCTTGTTTCAGGAAAACATAATACTTATTTTAAAGTCAAACAACAAAAATCAGCATAATATTTTTCAAATTTTCACAGGACTAGTTTCGATGGTTTTACCAAACCATCATGCTCTGCTGCAAAAGCACAAATGAACAAGATAAGGTATAATAAGATAAGAAAGCCTGGACAGGAGATAAGCTACTGGTGCTATCTGTTGATGAAACCAGAACTAAAACAATTTCTTTAAAGGCTGAAGACAAAGATGGATCGGAATTAGGGTCGTTAACTAGAACAGAAAGAGATTTTTTAATGTGAAATGCCTCTAGAAAATCCAGTTCACCAATGGAAAAGTTTTTTGAATAATTTTGGCAGCAGAATAATTCAAAGTGTGATTTTCAGACCAACAACATTGGGCAACAGAAGACTTCTGTGTTTCCTTTTTTCTAACATATGCCTATGTTCCTCAATGTGAAATTTCAAGGCTCTCTTAGTTTGGCCAACGTAAATTAAGCCACACTCGCAAGGAATCCTGTAAATACCCCAGGAATTCATATCCGGAATGGGGTCCTTGAGTATGGAACTCAATTTTTTTTTATGGGAGAATAAACGACCCAAAGTTAAATTTCTGCAAAATATGTGCAACTTTATAGCTAATTGATGGAAAGAAGGGAATGACACAGAATTTTTATAATCTCTCAAAACAAGAGTGTGTCTTTTGGTGCATTGAGATGAAAATTTTTTAACTGCTGGATTAATAATGTTGGGTAAAAAGCCCCTGTCAATTGCTATTGCTTTAAAATAATTTAGATCTTCATCAAGGGATAGTTTGGAGGAGCAAACCTTGAAGAGCACGGAAAACATAGGAATAAAATGAAGCTAACTTTTGTTTAGTCAGACATGATTTGAAGTGTGGTGAAAGGCAAACCGATGAAGGTTTATGGTAAACCGTAGTACTGAAGGTGGATCGTGTTACGTGTGACCAGAATGTCGAGAAACAGAAGAGAAACCTCGACTTTCTCTTTGAAAACGACCTCTCGACAACCTTTGAAAAATATTATGCTGATTTTTGTTGCTTGACATCTAAATTAATATCTGTTCAGCGCGTTATTGTGTCTTAACATAATATTAGTTATAATGCTCATTAGAAGCATTCAATAGGATGCATTTTTCACTTATTCTATATGTTTCCTCTTTGAGAGTATGAGTTATACATATAATTTTTAGGGATGCATGAAGGACCTGTACCTTAGTTCTTTAAAAAATCTGAATTATTAAATCTGAATTTTTTCAGTTATTTGTCAAAGTCAAAACATAAGGTTACATATATATGTGAATCATTAGATTCAGAATAGTTTCAAATGTGAAAATAATAATCAAGACATAAGCTAATAACATACAGGCATAAAAAAGTCTAATTAACAAAAATAATTTAAATACTCACTTAATTTACCCCCTCAACATTTCCTTTGTTTCATTGGTCAATAAAATCATAGCTAATAGCACTGTAGTTCTTCTGAAAATCAAGATCACACTCTCATTTGGAACATAAGGAAATTATCTTGTTTGACCTTATTCTACAGACTTGCCACTATTATCAATTCCTTACTTTAGTCACCCCACAAATGAAATGTTCCCGTGCACACAAAAACATAATCACAGAAGTGCATCAAACTAATGTCAAATAAGAAGTCCAGAAAAAGCTGGATAACCCATGAAAGGTTATTTCAAGGATGAAACAATGGATCTGCTACTTGATTAAATGATTCAACATCTTATTATTACACTGAAAAATACTTATACTTAAGGTTTCAAGACGGGGGAAAATCTGCATACATTATTTTTGCAAAATTTAACTTTTTTCTATATGCCCTATTTAATCCTGCATTCCATAATATACTGTACACTCTTAGGTAATGTTTAGCCTTCTTAACGAAAACATTTCAATGCAGATTTCCAAGTGCTAAAAAAATGATATGATCATTCAACTCTAAGTTCGATAACTCGCACGCACTCTTTCCATCACTCAAAATTTTTTAAAAACAAAATATGCGTAAAAGTAAAATAAATAAAAGAACAGATAGTTAAGTACTTCATATGATAAATACAAAATCCTTCTATTTTTCTCTTATCTAAGAATTTTATAGCTTTGAGTTTTCTTCTTAAAAATGAGTAAAAAGTACATGCATTTTGTTTTTTTATCTGAGGAGCACATAGGTATATAAAATAAATTTTTCTTATAGCTAAACACAAACTAAAGAATAAAAGTACTCATGTGGAAATTACACAAGTTAATATTTCTTTATAATTCCTTATTTAAAATCAAGTTTTTTTTTTTTTTTTTAAGGTGTAGATATTGCATTAATACAGTCATCACAGAGTATATATGTTACATTTTAGTTAAATGTATGAATTTAAAATATCCAGTAAACAGCGAAAGAAAACTAAAATGGTGAGAATATTCAGTACTCTTCTATCATCTGGACAGGATTCGGAAACATTTGCACGTACATATATACACGCATACATGAACACACACACACATATATATATATACATATCTGGATCCAGTTCTCTGATAACAGAAGAGTGCCGAATATTCTTAAAACCTAACTTCACAATACAAAATTAAACGAAAAATACTAAAGGTCATGAAATTTACTAGATTATCAAAATACAACATTTTTTGTCAAAGAAATATTTAAGTATTGACAAATTAGAGAAGCTTAAAATTAGAAGAATTATAATGTACAGTTCCACAATAGAATATAAAAGCATGTTTAAAATCATGTACTTGCCTGTGTAGAGATTCTAGCAGCAAGAGTCATTTCTAAATTTCCTTTTAATCCCAATAATGCAGGGACAAGAATGAAAAGCTGAGTTACATTTTCAAATACAGGCCAGGTCTGCAACATAGAACAAAAAAAAAAAAAAAAAAAAAAAAAAAAAAAAAAGTAAAATTTGCTTACAAGTCAAATTTAAAGGCAAATTTCTCAAATTTGTGTTAAAATTCTATTCTGATATTCTGTTAATCCAAATTAAAAATTTCAGATGGGAAACATTAACCAATGACCTACTTCATGTGTATTTATAAACTTACTCATTTTAAAACATTGAAAAATATGAATAAAATTATTAAAGCAAACATTCAACAGCATTTCTCAAACCCTGACATTTTTCTGCCAAAAAATGCTGGAGAAAATTATTTTCTGATGTTAATGATATTCATTGTTAATAGATTTTTAAAAATATTTCTTGATAAAATATATACAGTCAAAAGCCTTTAATCCAGACGTCCATAATCTGGACTTCAAAGCTACAAACTTTCTGTGCATGCGTAAACGCATTAAAATTATCTAATTATCTACTTCAGTTAATGTTGCATATTGCATTGTTCCTTAATCTTCGAATTGGATCTGTCTTATTATTTTTTGCAGACTGTTAAAGCAATTTTATAAAAGTAAGCTTGAACTTTCGATAATGTCAAAGAATTTCCGATTCTGGAGCTGCCAAAGGATCTACAAAGCGAAAGCATGTTTCGCTGTCCATCAAACAAAAAGTGGAATTGCTACAAAAAAATGGATAAAGGCATATCCTTTGCTTCTCTAACCATTCCGAAATCTGTTTATAATTTCACGCTGCTCTGCAGGAGGGGGGAAATGTCATGGTGCACTATGAACTGGAAGTTGATCTGTCAGCACGATCCTTATCTTCAGGGCAGATGTTTTTATTTTATTCGGCTTATAATTCCTTACAAAATGTAGTATTTCATCTCGATGTACTCCATCTTTGATATGATTTAAATCAAATTCCTCGTCATTATGAATATCACGAATGCACATCAAATAGTTTTCTGGTTGCAATTTCCTAATTCCTAGCGTAATGTATGCTTTACGCATGCATGCATTGAAAGAAATGTTTAATAAAGTAAACAAATAAATATTAAGCTTTTTTTTTTGTAAATTTTGATACCCTTTAGATCATAATTGCTCTTTATTTCATAAATTACGGTTTCATATTTTTAATTTTATAATTTCTACATGTCATCTTACCAGATTTAAATTAATGATCTATAATACGGAAAAAAACGATAATCCGGAATCGCCAAAGTCCCAACGAGTCCAGATTAAAGACTTTTGACTGTACCTTACTACAACTGTTCCCAAATTACTCTTAATAAGAAGTTAATGATAGGAAAAAAATTAATAGGAAAAGTCTACTGAGAAAACTTTCAGATTCCTCGATAGGTATGCAACTGTTTATAAAATTGTGCAATATATAAAAATGCAATTATGTTAACCATGACTTAGTACAACACTCTTAAATTTAATAAATTTACAAACACAGTATTCTATTATTATTAATAAATGAAAACCATAAACAATAACATTTGTTACGTATAAGTTTGTAATGGACTGAATGCATACAGAACCAATGATAGCTTGATTAGATAGATGTTTCATTATAACCATAGTGCCAGCTTGGTATGATGGCCATTTACCTCAATGTTAAGTGGAATTGCCCTTGTAACCTTATTTTTACAGGAAGCTTCACTCTCATAAGGACTATCATGTTACATTGTGCAAGAGATATTACAGTTTCATTTATTATCTCACTAAAATTATTTACATATATTCAAAATTCATGACACAGCACTAATTAATTCTACAACATTACTTAAAATTCAAATTTACAACAAAGAATTTTCATCAGAAAAGGATTTTATCAAAAAATAGTTTATATATATTTCTTCACTAACTTTTTATCACCTTGGCAAGTTAATCAAGCAAAACAAAATTTCCTGAGGGAAAGTAGCTGGTATTTATATGATATGCAAGTAAACTTACAAAATTTTAATCCTGATAACACATTCAACTATGAAGAATAGATCTCAGACCAAGTTAACAACATTCCATGGCTTGAAGGAATAGTTCATTAATTAGACAGACCCACAAATCAGAATTATCAGAACAGCTGAGGAATATAGTATTCAAACATTAACACTGCATTTATTAGCATCTATTTCTCATATTTCCAGAACATACGGGGCCAAAAAATGCTATTCATTTTACTACATCAACATTTTACAAAATTCTACAGTGAAAACTATGACTTATATGGAAAAGTTGATGAAATCAACGATACAAAATGCCCATAATATAAATCTCAGAAGATAGTAATAGGAATAAATGTCGCAAAGGTTTCCAGAAATTTCATTCAAAGTGACAAAAAAGAAACTTGATTAGTGAATGACTCAAATGCAAACTCCACCCTTTTGTTTGAAAGAATGTTTAATGCATCAATTCAACATCATAAAATTAAACTATTTCAGTACTGCAAAATAAGAAGTAGGAAATGTAATTTTTTTTTCCTAACAGCAAATGCTTTAGTCATTTAGAAATGCTGAAGATTTGATTATGATGATGATTTAGAGAGTCAAACACGGAAAAATTGTTAACCTAAAAATGCATTTACAGAACACTTTTCTTAAGGTATGCTGATAAGATAAAATTTGAATCAGTTGTCCTGAATGATAGAATTGCTCACATAGGTTTATGACTGCAAGTTTGAAACAAATAGACACAGTTTTGACTCTAGGGCAAGGCTTGATTATTTATATATTGCCCTGAATGTCTAATATATGCTGTCCTAGTCATAAAGATGAGGTATTATTGTTGTTTATAAGTCAGCTAAATAATCAGCAAGTTTGGGTATAATTCTTAGCAAATGAATAAGAACATTAAAAGTTTTATGTATGTATATACTTTGATTCATTTTGAATTTCTAAAAGAGATTATAAATAACAGAAATATATCACATTCAGTTGGATGAGTTTAATTTAAAAAACATGTGTCAAAAAGCTTTTTCTTCAATCAGAGGGGCAAAAATGTTTGACAATAATTCAAAACTGCATATTACTGTCACAACAATCCAAAATCTAAACAGCTTGAAATACATGTTATATCCTCCATATTCTTTACTCTTATGATTCCATAATTTTCTTACATCCAATTCTATCTTGATCATTTTTGGCCAGAGAAACACATAAGTGAAAACAAGATTAACATAAAGTTACTGAGTTCTTATATACTAAATACTACGAAATAAGATTAACATTATTTGCTATTTCCATAGAAGATAATGAAGCATACCTTAATAAAAGGTTTGTTAACTATTAACTCAGTCTCCATTTTTTTAAAGTCATTATATTATACTAAATGGCATATATCATTCATATGATCAGCAAGTTTTCCCTCATTCAATGACAATAACCTTTATTATCCATGCTGGGCCAATATATTACCATTTTTAAGATGCACTGTCATCCCACAATTTTATAGTTTTTAATTTAGCTTTTCAAATTAAAACTTACTCGATGAGCAATTTAAAAAATAATATAAATGTTTTACTTATTATAATATCTAGCTGATGTAATTTATGTTGCGTTTTAATTCATACAATTTATAAGATATCAACTGATAATTTTTATAGCATTTACACAATCATTACAATTAACACATTAACATATAAATTTAAGAAATACAGTAAAAAATTTTAGAAACAAAATATTATAACATAAATTCTAAATAGAATAATTAAGTGCAGCAAATACACATACACTGATATTTTTTATGCTTTTTATTTAAAACGTTTCCAAAAATAACTAGAGTTTCATTTTACATGTTTGTATACTTATTTCTTTTCATATTTTATTATTTCTTATATTTCTTTAAGCTAGACAACTAAACATATCAATATAATACATAAAAACCTAACCTGAACTATGTCCAAAACTATTCCTGCAGCAACTGTTCCACAACCAGCAATGAGAAATGGAATAAATACTTGAAAAACTAAAGCCCGAAGAGATTCGGTGGATGGCAAGTCCTCTTTTTTAGCAGTCCCACCATCCTCCATGGTTAATATAATGTCACTGTGATCTTTATCATCATTCAGATCAACAGAACCATCTTTAATGCTTCCCTCATAAGTTTCATTAACTGTGCCTATTAACAGATTATCGTTAACAGTATCTGGGGGTAGAATATTTGCTACAGATTCTGGACTATGAAGACTTTCTTCATCTCCACAACTGACTGTTAATGCTAGAAGCTCTGCCTGCTCACTATCAGCACCAGCATTAGCAGAATTGGACAGTCCCCCTTCCATAATTGCTTGAGTAACCATTTTAGGTGCCAATAAAAGTGATAGCCGGAATATGTGATCTTCTAGAAACAAACCTTTAATTCTATGGACATGTGAAGCCTGGAATGAAAAGAAATTTATGATGAATAATAACTCAAATTCACATAGCATTTTTTATTCATACTTGAGACAAAGCTATCTTCAAAACATTGGATTAAGTGATTTATTTGTGCATTAAATTAAGGTGACTAGATTTCAAAGTTCGAAATTTGGGATGCTATATATGATTTTTTACTAACTTCTTTTTTTATAAATAAATTATTTTATTATTACTGTTGTTGTTGAGGTGGTGGAGGTAATATGTAGATCAATATGTATAAAATAAATCAAAGAATTTTTTTAAATGTTATATAATATTTTTTAATTAAGAAATAAATAAAAATGCAAAACAAATTTGTAATCCTTCTAAATTATTTTTATGAAGTGTCCTTATATTTCTCTGAAGCATGAATATTTCTTAGAACATCTTTTTCGATCTCCTAATAAAAGTCCATGCAATTCATCAAAATTAAAAATTTATTTTGGTGATTAATATACCCTTCAAATCTCTCTTTCAGCTGTACTTTATCAGTAGTTCAAAAACTGTTCATAATGTTAAAGACTCACTCAGTTGCAACATTAGTGCCAGGAAGACAAAAAGAAAAATTCTGGCAATTTTAAAAACATTTGAACAAGGAATCTGGTTCTCATTAAAACATGCAGTTATTTCCATTCAACTCTGACCTGGGCACATCTTAATTTTGACCATTTCAATATTTTTCTTCTTTTGTAATAAACATATTTAAGGTAAACATATTCCTCATATATATCAATTTCCAATAATTTATGATTTCATATCATTTTATTAATTAACAAAGAGACTGCTTCAACTCGACTCCAAGAAGGAGTTTCATTTAATATGATCCAGCTGTACGTTTCCATTCTCCTGAAATACTTTTGTATCAATTTCTCCAAATAAGTAAAAGCAACCTGATAAGATGAAATAACTTCTTGAAATTCAATAACTTTGTAGTGTGACATGTCCATTCTCTTAGTTTTTCTAGATTTTTTTTTAACATTTATTGGAATAAAGTTATCTTCTATTTTGCTCAAACTGAAGCTTTCAGAGCATCTGTTGAAGCAATTACATCAAATACAGACACAGTTTTATTTTCAATCGTTACAGTAACTTTATGAAAATATTGAAGCTTGAGTTTCAGTAAAATGTAGCCAAGCTTTTACCACTGGATTTTCAAAGAATTTTAAAATAAGCATGGAACACATTTCTTGAGTTTGAAAATATGTCTTCAGAGGTAAAAGCATTTCAAGTAGCTTTTTAATAGTGGGAAGTAATGCTAACCATCTTGTTTGTGAATACCATAGTATCACTAAAAAATTGGTTTCTCTGGTGTTGCAGAAAATTGTCAATGTTTGTACTCTAACAGTATAAGATTAAAAATCTATCTTAGAAATAATCATTTCAAAAGTTAGAATATAATCATAAGTTAGAATTTATACTACTGGCACAAAGAACCAATAATGTTTTCTTTTAATTTATTTTCTGCAAGACAGTTAAATAGTTGCTGACAATATCGGATGTTTCACCAGGTACAGATTTAAATTCTAAAGTTTTTACTCTAACTACATAACTCTAATCTATAAATCTAGCAAGTATTGGAAAAAGTTTATTTCATTGCCACTGGACACATCAGTTAAGATTGAAACAAATTAACATTTTTCCAAGTCATTTTGCAGCTCTTAAGGCATAAGTTATGAAACCATTTCGTATTATCGCTTTGGCCTTGGAACGTACACATATAAATTTAGGCTCAAATGCCACTTGAAGCAGCTTGGATGTGCAATCCATAGACTTAAAGCTATGGTTGTGGCAAATATATGGCATGCAAAAGTACCTTCTACTGCAGTTATTATTCCTTATTACCCACTTTCTCCTGTTTGAAGAAATTCTTTAATGACGAGCTAGATGCAGCAGAATTTGATATTTTATTTTTATTAATATTTATATGAAGTTTAATATCTGTACTTACACCATGGCTTACTGAAAATTTTGAAGAACATGTATTGCACCGTATATCAAAATTGTTTTCCCAATAAACAGGTATTACTTCTGCAGGTCTTTATTAAATGTACACTTTTTTTTTTGAACCCATTACTAAAAAAAAATCAATAGTAAAAATAAATATACTAAATTAAACTGCATTAAAACATACTCTTAGCATGTATGTAATGGTCTGCTGACAAATAAAAAACGTATATCATTGCCAAAAGGGAAAAGTCATAGTTTTTAGAAGAATTAAAAAAAATTGTTTAATCTTTATGCAAAATGAAAATGACTATGAAGTAAAAATTTTATGATCTAAACATGACAAAATAAAGATGATTTAAGATGGATATATCTATAATTTAATTTCAGCAAATAACAAAAGATTTATTTTTAGATGTGTAATAATGTGTAAGAGGATAATACATAACATTTGTAATGCACTGTTGATAATTAATATATATATGTATATATTATAAATTCAAATCATAATCAAATTAATATAAAAATTGAAGAGCTCTCTTGAAGTAAAAGTCGGAACTATAACCGTGAGCAAAAATTCTGTGCATGTTGGGTGGATGTGGAGAAAAATACAGGAATAAGAAACAGAATTCCCTCATTACAATTTTTCTAAGGTAAACGCTAGATGGGTAATCCCCTGCTTATGCAGCCAATACGGAGTGAGTCTTAATTTATGCTTGTACTTTCAATTTACAATATACATATATGTATATACATATTTTTCTAAGGTAAACGCTAGATGGGTAATCCCCTGCTTATGCAGCCAATACGGAGCGAGTCTTAATTTATGCTTGTACTTTCAATTTACAATATACATGACTTAAATAAATATATGCATTTAAACTTTTATGTTCTCACACTACTGTTTTTCAGAACAATTCAGGACAAATGCTATAAATTCAGGACAAAAAACGAGTTTTAAAAAATGGGACAGAATAATTCGAGATGTATGGTAACACTAATTAACTGCTTTTCCAGGTTATTCAAATTATAGAAATCAAAGATTTTTGACAGATATTGCTATTTTAATAATTTCAGATGAATTCTGCGCTGATCAGCTTTGTTTTCTAGATGTATGGTAACATTAATTGATTTTCCAGGTTATTCAAATTATAGAAATCAAAGATTTTTGACAGATATTGCTATTTTCATAATTTCAGATGAAACTTCAATTCTGTGCTGATCAGCTTTGTTTTCTATTTCATGATCAATTTTTAACTAAAAGAAGCCTTTTTCTCACAAAAGTTTTGCATAATCATTCAAAACAATGATCTTTGAAAGCACTGGGTAATAGCTTTTCAGATGTATATGGATGAAAAGGAAATATATGAAATCCACATACCATTCTAGTTTACACTTTTATATTCCAGATTCAAAAGATTAAAAAAAAAGGGGGGGGCTGTTTAGGTGACAGTTTTAATTTCAAAGGTAACGTTAGATATAAAAAAAATTAGACCCCCCCCCAAAAAAAGCTTCTTTTTAAAATAGCTATAATGTGCAAATCCCCAGATGAATCAAAGTAAGCAAAACAGATTGCTTTGACATTATAGTTAATAAAAATTATAAAACTTAACAAGTATAAATTTAAATATTTAACTCATTTCTTACTTTTAAAACTTTTTGAAATGATATGTCTACTTATTAAGTACTAGAACTTTTCTACTTCACAGAATATTTTATTCAAAAGCTGTGTATTACTTTTAGTATTTTTCTATTTGCCTTGGGAAAGACACACCATATACAGTCAAAAGTCATTAATTTGGACACCCATAATCCGGACCTCATAGCTACAAACTGTCTGCGCATGCGTCGCGTTGATGCGTAAGACTTTTACAGGTGCGAATTTGCATGTGCACATGCACGTAATATGTTTACGCTTGCGCATTTAATGTATAACGGACGGTACAAGCTAAGCTAAAATTTTCTAATTCAGTTAATGTTGCAGATTGCGTTGTTCCTTAATCTTCGACTTGGATCCGGCTTACTATTTTTTGCAGACTGTTAGAGCAATTTTGTAAAAGTAAGCTTGAACTTTCGATTATGTCAAATAGAATTTCCGAATATGTAAAGGATCTACAAAGCGAAAGTATGTTTGAAGTCCATTAAACAAAAGTGGAATTGCTGCAAAAAATGGATAAAGGCATATCCTTCGTTTCTCAAACCATTCCGAAATCTGTTTACAAATTTCACGTTGCTATGCGGGGAAGGGGGGAAGTCACGGCACGCAATGAACTGGCAGTTGATCTGTCAGCACTATCCTTATCTTCACGGCAGATGTTTTTATTTTATTCAGCTTATAGTTCATTACTAAATGTAGTATTTCATCTCGATGTACTCCGTCTTTGATATGATTTAAATCAAATTCCTCGTCATTATAATTCGCTTCCGATCAAGTAAAGAGAAAGTATTATCACATAAAACGAAGCAACTTAAACAATTTACATTGAAAGAAATGTTTAATAAAGTAAAGTAAATATTAAGCTTTTTTTTTTTTTTTTTTTTTTTTGTAAATTTTGATACCCTTTAGATTATAATTGTTCTTTATTTCATAAATTACGGTTTAATATTTTTAATTTTATAATTTCTGCATGTCGTCTTACCAGATTTAAACTGATGATCTATAATCTGGAAAAATCGATAATCCAGAATTGCCGAAGTCCCGACGAGTCCGGATTAATGACTTTTGACTGTAGTACTTTGTTTGATATATTTAGATAAGCTTTATCAAATACTAAAATTACTTCCACATTTCAGAACAGTTAATTAAAAATCATACAGACACACATATATACATAAAATTAATATAAATAAACCAAAACTTGTAACTTATTTCACATATTTCATTTTCGTCCCCATTTTACAAACAAGTTTTATTAAAAAATAAAAAATATGATATGTACATAGAAGAAAATTAAGCAAGAAGTAACTGCATTAACCAGTTTCCACCCTTCCTCCTAATATTACTACACTTAAAAAGATATCATACTACTTGTGAAAA